CCATAAACGAAATAGGTCCTAGGACGGACCGCTCTGTTACCATGTTACAATACGATCTTAACTTAGGAACCGGGTTTAGGCCTAGGCTTAGAAGCCTAGGCCAAGCGGGTGACGAGGGTCGAGGCCAAGGGAGTAGCGAGAGAGTTGACCAAACAAGTTAGCTTCACTAAAAGCAAAGCATACAAGATATAGCCTTGAAATAAGGAAACAAGAGGTGCACCACCAACAGCAAAGTACAATAACTACAGTAACTACAGCAAGCAGGATATATCTTAAATAGTACTTTGACAGTAAGAAATTGGGTCCTATGCGTTCGGCTTCGTTGGTGTTGACTCGGGCGGGTGTAACGTAACCGTTGTCGGCGAAGTCGTAGAAGACTTCGGCGTTGATGCTTTCGCGAGGGTTGTCATCGTCCATTGCAATATCCACCGAGCAGTAGGGAAGTGGTCCGGCTTCTTCCGAAACTCCGTCCATGGTCTGCTCGTCCAGGTCAGCTTCATCTTCTGCCGAAGCGAAGGCTCGGTCCCCACGAAATCCGCCTGTGACATCTCGTGAAGTCTCCAAGTTGTACATGTACGTTGAAAGGGTGAGTCGCTCGTAGAAAATGACATCACGTGCTGCCACTGTTTCTTTTGAGTGGACGTCGAAAATCTTCCACGCGTTGTAATTCTTTTCAATGCCCAGGTGTAGTCCCCACTGTGCACGTTGGGAGAATCGGCCAGCGCGTGCAGCTGGGGGTCGGTACTGTACCATGCAGCCGAAATTTCGCAACATTTTTGTGCTGCCCAGTTTTCTTGTCCACAGCAGATGCGGTGATGCGTTGTTCGGGAGCGATGATGACGAAAGCAAGTTGTGCAGCATCACGGTGTGGTCCATTGCCTCGGGCCACTGGTGGTTGGGTAGCCGCATGCCACGTAGCAGCTTGCGCATGGTGTTCTGAAGGGTCCTGTTCATTCTTTCTGCTACACCCTGCTGTTGATGGGCGTAGGGAAGGGAGATGAGCCGCTTGATTCCTTTCTCTGCCAGGTACTGCTTGAACCTCTGTGAGGTGTATTCTCCTCCTCCGTCAGACTGAAAACTCTTCAGCTTAACTCCCGATTCCCGTTCTGCTACTGGGAGCCAGGCTACGAATGCTTCGAAGGCCATGTCGCGGCTTGGAAGGTTGAGATGCCAGACATAACGAGTGGCGGCGTCGATGAACGTTATGGTGTAGTTGTATGCTCCTTGTCCAGGTTCGCGGTTGAACATGATGTCGCTGTCCTTCTCAAGTGGTGCATAAGCTGGTGCGCTCGGGTTGTGGTGAGAAACGAAGGGCTGATGCGGTAAGTCAGCTTCTGGGCAGGTGAAGCAGGTTCCTCTCATTCGTTGAAGTTCTCTCCCGTCGAGTAAGAGCAGTGAGTCTTTGTCAAGAACGCCTGCTCGTATCGTGTTGTTTAACGTCGTGTTGCTCGGATGTCCCATTCGTTTATGCCAGAGATCTTCGTCAGCGCGATGTCCGGGTGAGCGGCGGTACAAGTCGGAGTTGGAGTAGAACCCAGCGGTGTGGTTTGCACTTCGATGGACTTCTCGTGGAGTTGGGTTCAGCTGTTGCGCAGAAGTCGGTGGTGTGTTGTCGACGAAGACCGGTGCCGTTGAAGGTCCTGCGATTGGTGGCGATGTTGTCTCTGCTGCTGCCGGTGTTGTCTCTGCTGCTGCCGATGTTGTCTCTGCTGCTGCCGATGTTGTCTCTGCTGCTGCCGGTGTTGTCTCTGCTGCTGCCGAGTGTTGAATCGTTGCTAATGCTCTTGTTCGTTCTGCCTCAGGAATAGTATGTGAATACCAGAAGCCTTCGGGACTGAAGTCAGGATCAAGATCCGGTGGGTGCGTCCAGGAGGTGAAGGTGACGATTCCGTCGCTGTCGGCGGTGCCTAAGTCTGGAACGAAGTCGAGGACGAACACGTTGTTCTTTAGCACAGCCTTGCCGATGTAGAGTCCGCCTTTCCCGTGGTACAGCTTGAACTCCTGAGTGGTGCTGTCTGCTTCGAGATGGATGCCTTTCGTCATCAGCTGGCTGACGCTCAGTAAGTTGTAGCCGAGTCCCTCCGCGATTAAGACCTTTGACATCTGGAGTATAACGTTTGTCTCCCTTGACTGAAGTTGAACCACGCCTTGTCGTCGTGTGCGCAGGTTCTGGTTGTTGGCGACGGTGATCACGACTTCCCATTGAAGTTGATGTTCCCGTTGAACGAAGCGACCCGAGGAGCACATATGCTGCCCGCAGCAACTGTCCAAGAACCAGGTATCTTTCCCGGACGGCTCACTTTGGGCGATGGCTGCGTATGTCGGGTTCGGCTCCAGTGTCTCGCGGCGAGGAGTGCGTTCTTCGAGTTGTTCTTCTGGTGAGTAGTACGGTGGTGATTCAGTGATGTAGGAGTCTGACAATCTTGCCATGCAGCTGACGATGTTTCTTGCTCCTTGTGCAGATTGTGTTGGCGATGCTGTTGAAGACTGTGACTTGCTTGTGGGGTGCGCCTGAGTGGACGCTACCTGACTACTTGAAGGCCGAAGTTGACGTTGTGGTGGTGTTGATTGCTGTCGATTCGGGCAGTGTGTGCGAGGGTGCCGTGAAGTTTTGCAGATATGACAGAACGGAGGTACGGGTTTTGGTTGATGCCGGTTGTTGTTGTTGTTGTTGTAGCGCCGTTGGGTGTGAAACGCAAATTCGGGTACTGACGTCTTCTTCTTGTGCCGTTCTTCTTGCAGATCCATGTCTTGCTGTTCAGCGTGAATTTCAGCGCAGAGTGCTGCTTCGGAGATCTTCCCGTGAGCTCGGAGTATGGCGCGGGTGGAGCGCCAATGAGGACCAAGGCCGCCAATGATGACTGTGACGAAGGCGTCTTCCGATATCGATCCTCCGCATCGAAGGAGTTTGTCGCGCAATTCGCGACAGCGACTGATATACGCCATCCCCTTTTCGCCCGGTTTCATTTCCACTGTTGTCAGTTGTGCCATTAACCGACTCTGATTGACGCTGTCTGTTGCTTGATACAGGTTCTTCAGGTGGTTGTACGCAAGCTCGGCAGAGTTCCCGTATCCCCGGTAAGACCGAATGTTCTGCTGCTGGTTCGGTGTGACATTGCGCAGTAGGATTGTGTACGCCATCATGGACTGGTATGTGTACTGCTGCTTGTCGTATTGCGTCCCGTGCGTTGGATATGGCAGGGACCCGTCGAAGAAGCCAAGAATTTGCGCGCCTTCCATCATTAGCTCGAATTCGAATGACCAGGTAAAGAAGTCTTTTCCGTCGAACGGTCTTGATGTCTGCAGTTTTAAGACGTGCGCAAACTGCGACTGAACTTGAAGTGCATCCAATGTCTTCTCTTGCTCAGGTGAAGGCTGCTGGCGCGGTATGAAACTGACGGAGCCGCGCTGGGGTTCGTACGGAGCGAAGGTAGGTTGTTGCTGATTTCCTCGCGCGTAGGATGAACCATCGAGGCTCATCGGCGTCACATCGTTGTTGTTGTTGCTGTTGTTTGACTGCGCAGGTGCCCCTTGCTGGTGTTGTTCGTAGAAGGACATGAAGGAGAAAAACGTCTCCATCATGCTTGGGTCGAAGCCCGCGGCTTGATTTGCGGGAGTTTCGGTGGATCCAGCTGCTGGTCTTGTTGATGTGCCCTCCTCTGTCTGTAGGCCAGAGGCAGGAGGTGGAGTAGTAGTACCGGGAGAGCCGTTAGAGGAGCTTCTCTCCTTCTGTGTTGCCATGCCTTCTGATGTTGTGGGTGTCTTGATAGTTGTTGAGTTTGCCCTGATAGCTCTCATACCATGTTGGGCTGAGAAAAGCCTTGAGGATCTTTGCAGGACTAAACTATGAGTAGGAACAAATGTAATAGTGGAAGCGTTTAACGATAAGCCTGTGAACCACCTTGCGCTGGTATGTGAGGGCAAAGTAGATTAATTAAAACAAAGAGATACAAGCTTTTCTAAGAGTAGAAGGAATACGAAGAGATACAGTTAATAACCGTTTTACAATTGTTGTTGCGGTTCGATACAGTGACGACTCGGGCAACTGCTCAATAACGAGTCAGCTGTTTGTCCTTGCTGTCGTGCTGTACTTGTCAGGTCAAAGGTCGCTGACCTTTTGACTTTCGCGTAACCTCCAGCAGTTGCTCAACCTCCGAGGGTTGACTCGCTGATGCTTCGCTGTGTTTCGCTTCGTTTATGACTTAGTGTTTCGACGCGTCAGAGGCGCTTAAATCACTTGTTTCCAACACTTAGGAGGACCCCTTTGACCTGTGCATGAGCTCCAAGTTGGCATCATACAAGGCTTGAGAAATCAGCCGCTGCTCCCGAGCCATCCTCTCACGTTCGGCCCGAAGCTGCTGCTCCGCAACCTGCATGCGCTTCTCCTTGTCCGTAAGCTGCAGACAGGAAATGGGAAGGAAAAAAAAGTGGGGTGGGAAGAGGGGGAGGAAATGAAATTCATTGAGAGCAGGAAGTGCTGCGGATGGGTGTGAATGCATAAACGCTATCAGTAAAAATCGTGAACCACAAAATGTGTTGTAACTAGCACTCCTCACAAGGGAGCTACGGGAAAGTGGGGTGCTGCTGGAGCGGGAGCAGGAAGGGGTCGAGGATGGGGAGGTGTGTGGGGGAGCAGGTGGGGGGTTTGGGGCTTTGAGCGAATGGATGGATGACAGAGGTGAACATAAAGAAAAGGCAGCAGCATGCGAGGAGAGGGAAGCGCCATTAGTTCATGAAAACAGTTGTGGGGACTTTTGATCACCTTGCTCTCCGGAGCCTGAATCAGCTGCTGGCTGTCCTGCAAGTGCTCCCTCTTTTGAGACGTCTCAACAGGGGGGAGCACCATCATTCACGAAAACAGATACGACACTCCTGCTCACCGGGCTCTCCAGGGACGACTGTTGAGGCACCGCAAGAGCACCTTCATAAAAAAAAAAAAAAAAAAAAAAAAAAAAAAAAAAAAAAAAAAAAAAAAAAAAACTTATGGGGATCGAGCTCACCTGGCTCTCCAGAGCGTGAAGCTGCTTCTGGCTCTCCTGCAGCTGCTCCCTCTCCCCTTGAATCCTCTGCTCCATCTGCTCCTGCCTCTGCTCCAGCACTTCGACCTGCAGTAAAAGGAGATGCAGGGCAGAGAGCATAACGAGAAAATTGGTGATGCTTTGTGGAGGCAAGTGCTTTTAGAGCTCCAAAAAGACGTGCCACTTGCTGTCACCTTCCGCCTTAACGACTGATTCTCCTCCTGCATGGCTGCTTGAATTTTGGCACACAGTCAAATCTAAAACTTTAAAAGCACTTGCCCCATGCTCTCACATTTAGCTTGAGCGCCTGATTTTCCTCCTGCACGGGTGCTTAGACCTTGGCAGTCAGCCTGTTTAAGAACTCTTAAAAATACCATGTCCCTTTCTCTCACCTTCTGCTTGAGCGTCTGATTCTCCTCCTGCACAGCTGCTTGAATCTTGGCAACCTCCCTCTCCATCCTCTCCTCCCTCCTCGCCTCCCTCCCCGCTTACTCCTGCTTCACCCTCCTCCTCTCCTCTTCCACTGCAGCCATCACCTCCTCCTCTCGCCCCCTCATCTCCCTCTCCCTCTCCCTCACCTCCTCTCCCATCCTCCTCACATCCTCATGCAACTTCCTCAATTCCTCTCCCCTCCTCCACCTCCACCACCACCCTCCCCTCTAACTCCCTCACTCACTCTCTCAGGTGCTCCCTCTCCCTCAAAACCCCTTCTCTCGCAGGGGTACTAGGGACAGCTTGTGAGTCCAAAACACCTATGGTAATTGAGATATGTATACATATTTTGCTGAGATTGGTAGAGATGTACCGTAAGAAATTCATCACAGATTCCAAGGTGAACAACAACAAACATAAACTTGCCAAAGTGTGAAACGAAACCAAATAACAGTACATTTCTCCATACTCCCTAGATTACAGAAAATACAATCAGGTTCGAGGAAACCGACTTCACAATTAAAAGCGGTCACGACGTCCTCTCTTGCCTGCAGAAAACACCTTAACGCACTTGTACCCCTTACAGCTTCGCACAAACGGAATGCAAATCTGACCGTTGGGGCAAACCTTCCTCAATACGCAGGGAGGCTTTGTCTTGTCCTTGTTGTCACACACCCACGGGCACATGCGCAGTTTCTTGACGGTGCAGCCGGAAGGAGGAGCAGGAGAGGGAGGGCCAGGGGGAGTGGCAGCTGTAAGTTGGAAAGTGTGAAACACGGGGAGGGGGGAATACGGGAGGGGACTTTTGAGTCGACTCAAAATTCAACTCTGCAGGAGGAGGGGGAGGGCCAGGAGGAGTGGCAGCTGTAAGATTAAAAGTGTGAAGCACGAGGAGGGAAAAATACGGGAGGGGGGCAAACAACTTGTTTAGATAAAAAGGAGGAGGGTATCACAAGCAGATGTTGATACGAAATGCAGACAGTCATTGAGATGGGAAAGGAGCGGGGAGAGCAGAGAAAAGAGGGCACATCCGCAGGTATAACAGGAGCGGCGAGAGCAGACAGGAGGCGATTCCTCATTAGGGGAATCCACAGCTATACGAGAAGGGTAGATACGAAGAGGTTACTACCAGAGGGAAAAAAAAAACCGGTTTAGATAGTGCACACGATGAGGCAGAATCAAGAAACGGATGTGGATACGAGTGCAGGGACCCCTAAAAGATATAGAAATGAGCTGCAGGGACCCTGAGAGTTACGAAAATTATTTGCAGGGACCCTTGAAAGATATAGAAATGACGGGCTGAGGGGAAGAGCCTCAGACAGGAGAGGCCAGAAAGGCCAGGAGACGCACGACTCACCTGCTGCCTCATCACGCACGACGCACCTGCTGGCGCGACGATAAAGACAAGAAGAAGAGTAGTAACGGCGGCAAGAAGCATCATTTGGTCCTTTGTAGACAACCAATGTCTTAAAGCCATTTTCTGTCTCCTGACTTGGAAAACTCGGCGACCCCCGATCGCCAAGACTGGCTGTCTCCGACTCGGAAATCTAGGCACGCGCCGCCCGGCCCCAAACTATAATAATTTATTAGGCGCCTCAAAACTCGCCGCCCGGCCCCAAATCGACCACAGAAATCGAGAACTGGGTCAAAAGGCACGCCGCCCCAAACTAGAATGCGGGAAGTAGAGTAGAAGACAATTTTGGGCCTGGACCAATGTTAAGTCAGTTTCGGGATCATACAATTTTGCCGATGCACGACTCACCTGCTGGCGCGACGATAGAGACAAGAAGAAGAGTAGTAACGGCGGCGAGAAGCATCATTTGGCCCTTTGTAGCCGACCAATGTCTTGAAGCCATTTTCTGTCTCCTGATTCGGAGACCTCGGCGAGCGCCGATCGCCAAGACTAGCGGTCTTGTCGATCTCCCGGCGATCTCTCGGCGATCTCCCGGCGATCTCTCGGCGACTCGCCGAGATCGGATCTCGTGGCCTGAATGTGTCGACGATCTTCAGGCTGAAGCGAGAGATCGCGCGTAGAGTCTTACTAGAATGCGACTCGCAGTCTTTCGCTTGCGGCGAGTATAGTAATGGCCTGACAAGCACGCGGTGTGACAAAGGAGTAGTACTAGATCTGTTGTGCACAGCCAGCACAAAGTTTGATGGCTACCACTAGTACAACAGATCTAGTACTATGGTGTGCATGTTGACAGCGCAAGCCTTGCGGAGCAGCGCAAGCCTTCCAAAGCAGCGCAAGCCTTGGGGAGCAGCGCAAAGCCTTACGGATCAGCGGAAAGCCTTGCGGAGCAGCGGAAAGCCTTACGGATCAGCATCGTGTTGGCAGTGAGTGCCATGCCAGGTGGTGACTTGCCGGCGGGCGCGCACAAGTACTGCTCTGCTGGGAAGGCATTCGCCGAATGAAAACGAGACGTGTCACCGACCTGTCCTCACGAACCTGTCATACGTATTTGCTGTCATTTCGTCGCATCTTGCAAGTACTCCTCGTGAAATCCATCTTCAAGACGTCGGTTTCAACCATCTTGACAATGTCGGGGGTTGACTTTACACCATTTTCAAGAATCAATATGGATAGTAGTACGGGAAACCACCTTCGAGATGTCAGCGCCTGCACGTCCGTGTAATATATCTTGCCATTTTAAACCAATGCGTGACAGGGACTCGCTCGTTGCGAGCTTTCGATTCGCGCATAATCTCACGCATGTTATCATCGCAGGGTGTGGTTGCGTGGTACTTATCAAAGCTAGGTCTGCCTCCTCTCTACTTCACACTCAACTAAGACAAGGGAACAAGGGTGTTTGGACACCTAAGGGTGTGTCCGAAGTGATCCGTTGACATCCGTTTGGGGATGGCGGTACATTTCAGCCCTCGGATCAATGGTTCCGACCATCGGATTTGCCGACGGATGTCAACGTACTCGGGACTGCCCTAAAACAGCAAGGTCGCATTCCGGAGCGTCACGGACAAGTTGCTCCTGGAAACTAATCTTGACGGAACCTGACGGAACCTGACGGAACCTGATGCAACCGCAACCGACAATTGTGTCCTTGAGACTCGCAGTCGATGCTCACCTAGTCCCGTGGAATTTGCTCGTCCCATCTCTAAACTTTTCCCTCGTGCATTCGTGGACGGACAACGGCCCCTCATGTACAGTCACATCAGTAGATCGTAGCCGTCGGTCGAACTGCTTATCACGATGTCAACCATCCCTTCAGATATTTTGAAAACGGTACATGGTAATTCGTCAACCCCTCCACTTGCGCGTTACAGTCCCAATGTTTCCAGTGGCGAAGTTGGGCGAGGTAGGCGAAATGCATGTGCTCAGTCCCCGCCCTTTGATAAGGCGAAGGTGGGGTTCCTCTAATGGGCATCGTCTGACTAACAGAAAGGAACACGGATTTGTTGTCCTTTGTCATCCGAATACAGTTATCCTAACAGAATACATTCGCCCTTCCCAACCCCTGAGCACCGCATCCGACTCGTGCGCACCAAGGCGATTCAGCTTCTCACGCGCATGTGTATGTAGTACGACGCCCGCATGGACACCTCACATACAGCGTGGACTGTGGGACTCGTAAGCTGCGGCCACGTCCGCACCTGCCGAACGCTGACGAGCGCTGACGTGACGACTCACCTGCGACCCAATTTCCTCGTGGTGACGCTTTCAAAGGTGTTACGAGTTGTGGTCGGAGGGAATGGTTGACGGCCCTGTCATGAGAAAAACACTCCCGCTGAATGCCGCCTGACAGCAGATAGGATCCGTTACTGGTACGGGATCATTTCCGCTTCAGGTCAATTCATACGATATGTGTAATCAAACAGAGTAAGCTGAATCAACTAATAACAAAGACCTGACTAAATGAGCAGATATTTTCCCTTTTTACACAGCTTGATCTTTTCGTGCACAAATGTCAACCATAAGTCATTGAAATGTCAACGGGAGTCGAGAAAGGTCAGAATGAATAACAAAGGCCAAACACACATCCATCAACTACCGTATTAGCTACCACAACATGTCAGGGTTGCTGAGTTTAAGCCAAAGTCGTATTAGCAGCTGTTCTTGTGTAGCATCTGTGCTTATGAGGAGCCCTTTGATCGTTGCATGAGCTCCAGGTTGGCGTCAAACAAGGCCTGGGAAATGAGCCGCTGCTCCCGAGCCATCCTCTCACGTTCGGCCCGAAGCTGCTGCTCCGCAACCTGCATGCGCTTCTCCTTGTCCATAAGCTGCAGACGGAAAAGGAGATGAGAAGATATGTAGTTGCTTAGGAATCTGTAGGATCATCATGAGCAGAAAGCATAATGTGCAACATATCAACAGTCCCAATTGGAGTGAAGCAGAGTGGAAAACAGTAGAGTGGAAGGACAGCTATCGAAAGGGAGGAAGCGGGGGGGAGCAGGTGCTTGCGGGAGGGTTCGGGAGGGTTGACGATAGTGAAAATACAGGAAGGGCAGCAGAGAGTGCGGGGAAAACCCGGATTGTGTATTACAACAGTGGTAGGTTCAGCGCTCACCTGGTTCTCCATAGCCTGAAGCTGCTTCTGACCTTTTTCTAGGCGCCTCGAAAATAGAACAGCTGTAGGTTCACTTCTCACCTGATTTTGCATAGCCTGAAGCTGCTTCTGGTTCTCTTGCAGCTGCTCCCTCTCCCTTTGAATCCTCTGCTCCATCTCCTGCTGCCTCTGCTCCAGCCCCTCCACCTGAAAGAACGAGAGACATGCAGAGCAGAGAACGAGGCAGCAAGTATTGTGTGAAGGGGGATCCCTTGCAATCCCACCCATCAACCTCCTCTGCTCCATCTCCTGCTGCCTCTGCTCCAGCCCTTCCACCTGAAAGAACAAGGAGAATGGACTAGAGCGCACAGCAAGACAGAATTTGTGGCATTGAGCTGGTGCCTCGAACTCACTCCGCACGCCTCTGATCATCCCTTGCTCTCATCTTCTGCTTTAGAGTCTGATGCTCCTCCTGCTCGGATGCTTGGATCTTAACTATCAGTCCTGTAATAACTCTAAACATATGCCTCCCTTGCTCTCACCTTTTGCTTTAGCGTCTGATTCTCCTCCTGCTCGGCTGCCTGAAGCTTGGCAATCTCCCTCTCCATCCTCTCCTCCCTCCTCGCCTCCCTCCCCGCATACTCCTGCTTCACCCTCCTCTTCTCCCCCTCCACTGCTGCCACTACCTCCTCCTCTCGCCTCCTCATCTCCCTCTCCCTCTCCCTCACCTCCTCTCCCATCCTCTCTATCTCAGCCTCACACTCCCGCACTGCGTTCCCCCTCTCCTCCTCCACCTCCACCAACCTCCCCTCTAACTCCCTCACTCTCTCCCCCAGCTGTTCCTTCTCCCTCACAATCCCCTCCCTCTGCTCCTCAATCTGCCCCTTCATTTCCAGAAGCTCATTCACTTGTCCAGTCAAAGCCACAACACGCTCTCTCTCCTCCCTCATCTGCCCCTGTAGCCCCTCCACCAGCCCATTCAGCCTCCCCACTTGTCCGTCCCTCTCCGCCACCTCTCCCCTCAGCCTCCCCTCCATCTCCTTCCACGCAGCTTCCTTCTCCCTCATCTCTGCATCCCATCTCTTCTCCACCTGCGCCCACTCCTCCTGCTTCCCTCTCATCTCCTCCTTCCTCTGCAATCGCTGCTGCATCTCCTGCTGTACCTGCTGCGCCTGCTGCAGCCTTAACTCCAACTTCTCCTTCTCTCCTTTCGTCTCCTGAAGACAACTTTCCAGCTCCACCTGTCGCACTTGCAGCTGCAGCAGGGAAGCCTCTAGCTCTGATCGCTCCACCTTCATTGCACTGATCTCCTCCTCTCCCGCCTTTTTCTCCCTCTCCAATTCCTCCACTGCCCCCTCCAGCCTCCTCACAGCATCCTCCCGCTCCTCCAGTGCATGCTTCAGTTGCTGCACCGTGCTGCTACTCTCACTCACCAATGCTTCAAGCTCGCAGTTAGCACCCTCCTTCTCCTCCAATTTCTGCTCTAGCTGCTGCACTGCATCCTCCAACCTCCTAACAGCACCCTCCTTCTCCTCCAACGTCTCCTTCAGCTGCTGCACTGTGCTCCTACTCTCCTCCACCAAGGCCTCAAGCTCGCAGTTAGCGCCCTCCCTCTCCTCCACTGTCTGCTCTAGCTGCTGCACTGCCCCTTCCAACCTCCTAACAGCACCCTCCCTCTCCTCCAACGTCTCCTTCAGCTGCTGAACAGTGCTCCGACTCTCCTCCACCAAAGCCTCAAGCTCGCAGTTAGCGCCCTCCAATTTCTGCTCCAGCTGCTGCACTGTGCCCTCCAAAGCCCTCACAGCACCCTCCCGCTCCTCCAGTGCATTCTCTAGTTGCGCCACAGTGCTCCTACTCTCGCTCAGCAATGCTTTGAGCTCGCAATTAGCGCCCTCCCTCTCCTCCAATGACTGCTCTAGCTGCTGCACAGTCCCTTCCAGCCTCCTCACAGCACCCTCCCTCTCCTCCACTGCATCCTTCAGCTGCTGCACCGTGCTCCTACTCTCCTCCACCAACGCCTCAAGCTCGCAGTTAGCGCCCTCCAATTTCTGCTCCAGCTGCTGCACTGTGCCCTCCAAAGCCCTCACAGCACCCTCCCGCTCCTCCAGTGCATTCTCTAGTTGCGCCACAGTGCTCCTACTCTCGCTCAGCAATGCTTTGAGCTCGCAATTAGCGCCCTCCCTCTCCTCCAATGACTGCTCTAGCTGCTGCACAGTCCCTTCCAGCCTCCTCACAGCACCCTCCCTCTCCTCCACTGCATCCTTCAGCTGCTGCACCGTGCTCCTACTCTCCTCCACCAACGCCTCAAGCTTGCAGTTAGCGCCCTCCAATTTCTGCTCCAGCTGCTGCACTGTGCCCTCCAAAGCCCTCACAGCACCCTCCCGCTCCTCCAGTGCATTCTCTAGCTGCGCCACAGTGCTCCTACTCTCACTCAGCAATGCTTTGAGCTCGCAATTAGCGCCCTCCCGCTCCTCCAATGACTGCTCTAGCTGCTGCACAGTCCCCTCCAACCTCCTCACAGCACCCTCCCGCTCCTCCAGTGCATGCTCTAGCTGCTGCACCGTGGTCTTACTCTCGCTCAGCAACGCTTTGAGCTCGCAATTAGCACCCTCCCGCTCCTCCACTGCATTCTCTAGCTGCGCCGCAGTGCTCCTACTCTCGCTCAACGAGGCCTTGAGCTCGCAGTTGGCACTCTCAACTGACTGCTTCTCCTTTGTCAGACCTCGCACCACGTCCTCCAAAGCAGCCTTCTCTCCCTCCAAGGTGGCCTTCTCTCCTTCCAAATCTGCTCGCCTCTCCTCCAGAGAACGAGCCTTGTCTTGCAGCTCTGCCCTCTCCGCTTCCACGCCCACCTTCTGCTGCTGCAGTGCACCGAACTCTCCTTGCAGCGAATCAAACTCTCCCTGTAACGAGTCATGCTCCCCTTGTAACGAATCAAGCTTTCCTTGAAGCGCTGTCCATTCCCCTTGCAGCCGTCCCACCGTCGCCTCGAGCACACCCTTCTCTGCCTGCAAGCACCCAATCTGTTCCACAAGAACCACCCTCTCAGCTTCAAGCTCCTCTTGCTTCACCTTCAGTCCATCCCTCTCACCCTCCACTGCTTCCTTCTCCTCCACCAACTCCTCCTTTTCACCCATCAGCACACCCTTATCTGCCTGCAAGCACCCAATTTGCTCTACAAGAACCGCCCTCTCAGCTTCAAGCTCCCCTTGCTTCACCTTCAGCCCATCCCTCTCAGCCTCCACTGTTGCCTTCTCCTCCACCAAATCCTCCCTCTCACCCATCAGCACATCCTTCTCTCGGTTCAAATCCTCAATCTGCTCTATCAAACGAACCCTCTCACCTTCAAGTTCCCCACGCTTAACCTTCAGCCCATCCCTCTCAGCCTCCACTGCTGCCTTCTCCTCGACCAACTCCTCCCTCTCACCCATCAGCACATCCTTCTCTCGGTTCAAATCCTCAATCTGCTCTATCAAACGAACCCTCTCACCTTCAAGTTCCCCACGCTTAACCTTCAGCCCATCCCTCTCAGCCTCCACTGCTGCCTTCTCCTCGACCAACTCCTCCCTCTCACCCATCAGCACCTCCTTCTCTCTGTTCAAATCCTCGATCTGCTCTATCAGCCGAACCCTCTCACCTCCCAGCTCCCTGTGCTTCACTGCCAGTTCCTCCCTCTGAACCTCCAGCTCCCCTATCTTCACCTGCAGCCCATCCCTCTCAGCCTCCACTGCTGCCTTCTGCTTTACCAGCTCCTCCCTCTCACCCATCAGCACCCCCTTATCTGCCTGGAGAGACCTAATATGCTCCACATGACCCGCCCTCTCTATTTCCAGCTCCCCTAACTGTTCCTTCAGCCCATCCCTCTCAGCTTCAACTGCTGCCTTCCCCTCCACCAATCTCTCCTTTTCACCAGTCAGCACCTCCTTCTCCCTGATCAGCCCTCCTGTCTGGTCCATCAAACGAGCCCTTTCAAGTTCAAGCTCCCCGACCTTCAAAGTCAGCTCCTCTCCCTCCACTGTCAGGGCAACCACCCTCTCCTCCAACCTCCCCCTCTCCTGCTTCCCTGCCTCTACTTCCCTCTCCGTCCTCTCCACCCTCTCCTCCAACTCACCCTTCTCCTGCTGAAGCACCTCCCGCTCCTCGACTAATCCGTCCCTCTCCTTCTGCAGCCCAGCCTTGTCAGCAAGCAAGCCCTCCCTCTCAGCCAGCAAACTCGCCCTCTCAGCCTCCAAGCTCTCCCTTTCTCCTTCCAACCCCTTCTTATGAGCACATAAATCCTCATTTTCAGACTTCACCTGCTCGATTTCTCTCTCCATCTCAGCCGCACCAGCCAGCAGCACCACTCGCTCCTCCTCCAAAGCCCCCTTCGCTGCAGCCAAAGCTGCTCCTTCCGCCCTCAGCTGGCCAATTTCCCTCTCCAACTCGCCGATACCCGCCTGCAGCTGCTCCCTCTCGGCTTCAACCCCTCCCTTCTCCGAAAGCACCTGTCCCAGTTCTGTCTGCAACTCCTCCCTCTCCGCGTCAACCTCTCCCTTCTCTGACAGAGCCTGTGCCAGTTCGCCCTTCAGCCGCTCCCTCTCCCCAAGCAGCTCCTCGTTCTTCCTCTCCACCTCCCTCTTCTGCTCCTCCAACCCATCTCTTACCGCTTCCAACCCACACACAGCCTCCTTCAGTACACACACTTCGTTCGTCAGCTCCTCGTAATGCCTCTCCACCTCCCTCTTCTCATCCTCCAACCCACTCACTGTCTCCTTTAACGCACGCAGTTCAACCACCAGCTCCGCCCTCTCCCCCTTCAGCTCCGCATACTCCGCCTCAGCTTCCGCCTTCCCACACTCCGCCTCCCCCTTCTCCCCCTCCAGCCTCCCCACAGCAGCCTTCAGCTGCGCATTCACCCCCACAAGCCTCTCCCTCTCCCCCACCAACCTCCCCCTCTCCCTCTCCATCCCCTCCCTCTCCACCTCCCACTCCGCCTCCCTTTCCGCCCTCTCCGCCTCTACCGCCCCCTTCTCCCCTTCCAACCGCGCCACTGCTGCTTTCAGCTGCCCGTTGGCCGATCTAAGCTGCCCGACGCTCGCCTCCAACTGCACATTGCCTCCCATAAGCTGCCCGTTCGCCTGCTCAAGATCCACATTCAAATCCCTCAGCTTTCCCACCGTCTCTTCCAATGCCACCTTCTGCCCCTGCAGCTGGGAAACTGCTGCTCTCAGGTGAGCATTTGACTCCTCCAAACCCCTCACTGTCTCCTCCAAACTACTCCCATTCTCCTCCAAACCTCTCACTTTCTCCTCCAAACCCGCCCGTTCCTTCACCCACCCGTCCCTCTCCCTCCCAAACTCCCTCCTCACGCTCTCCAGCTCCCGTTTCAACCCATCCCTTTCTCCCAGAACCGCATTCAACCGCGCATTCACCGCATCCAGCTTCCCACGCGCCTCAGTCAAGTCTCTCACCACCCTCTGGTGCCTAGCCGCTGCTTCCTGAACCAAACCATCCATCTCCTCCCTCAGTCCCTCCTCTCTCTTCTCTGCTGCTTCTGCCCGAGCCAGCCAGGCTTGCCCCTGCACCTCTGCCTCTTCCCTTGCTGCCTCCGCAGCTGATAATGCACCTGCAGCCGACTCCTGCTGCTCATGCTGCACCAGCAGCAGCTGCTGCTCCTTCTCCGCCCATTCCTCCTGCTTGGATAGCATCTCACGCAGCATATCTGATCTCTCTTCTTCCATGCGTGCAATGCTCTCTTCGAGTTCTTTCACTCTCTCCTCAAATGTTTCCCTTGCCTCCTCCCAGGCCGCCTCCTTCTCAGCCCATCCCTGCTCCGTTACTGCCAGCTCCTGATCCCTCTCTGCCAGCTCATTCCTCACTGCTGCCAGCTCAGCTTCAGCAGTCTCCACGTCAGCCTGAGCTGCTGCCAGATTCTTCTGCAGAGCTGCCATCAGTCCATCCATAACCCCCACCTTCTCCACCCACTCCTGCTCCTTCGCTGTCAGATCCCCCTTCACCGCACACAACTCCTCCTCCGCTGCTGCAATGACTTCACCCAGAATGCCCTCCCTACACTGCCACGCCTGCTCCTTCTCCTGCCAGCATTCAATCGCCTGCTGCTTCGCTGCCAGGTCTTCCCTCACAGCACACAGCTCTTGCTCCGCTGCTGCTATCGTCTGCTCCTTCGCTGTCAGATCCCCCTTCACCGCACACAACTCCTCCTCCCCTGCTGCAAGAGCCTCACCCAGAACGCCCTCCCTGCAAGTCCAAGCCTGCTCCTTCTCCTGCCAGCATGCAATCGTCTGCTCCTTTGCTGTCAGCTCTCCCTTTAACAGGCGCAGCTCTTGCTCCGCTGCTGCTATCGCCTGATGCTTCTCTACCAGATCTCCCTTCACCGCACACAGGTCTGCCTCCACGGCAGCAAGAGCCTCACCCAGGATACCCTCCCTGCAATGCCACGCCAGCTCCTTCTCCTGCCACTCTTGCCCCTTCGCCAGCCACTCCCCTTCCTTGCCTTCCCACTCCATTCTCTGTTGAAAACTCTCCTGTTTCACGGCTTTTAACACCCCCTGAAGCTCCCTCATCTGCTCCTCCTGCAATACCTTCTCTTGCTTCCATTCCTCTTCCTTCTTTCCCCATTCTTCCCGCTCCGCCGCCCGCTCCTTCTCCAATAAATCAACGGCTGTGACCAGCTCCTGCTTCTCGCGCTCTAGAGCATCAACGGCCCTCGTCAGCTCCTCCCTCTCCTGCCTCACGTCTCCAACCTCCTCCTCCACAGCAGCCTTCTCTGCCTTAACACACTCCAACGCGGTCTCCATTTCCCCCAGCCGCACCCTCTGCTGCTGCCCCAGCACCTCCCACTCCTGCTCCCTCGCCCTCCACTCATTCCCCTTTACCGCCCACTCCTGCTGCTCCCCCGCGTAAGCCCGCTTCACAGCAGCAAACTCTTCAGTTAGAAGCATAGCCCGAGCAGACAGCTCCTCATGTGCAGCAGCGAGCTCCCCCTTTTCTTCCGCCCAATCCTGCTGCTCCCCCGCGTACGCCCGCTTCACAGCAGCAAACTCTTCAGTCAGAAGCATAGCCTGAGCAGACAGCGCCTCTCCCTTGCCGACCAGTTCCCTCCTCTCTGCCTCCCACTGCTCCTCCTTCTGCCCCCACTGCTCTTCCTTCTGTCCCCACTGCTCTACCAGAGAGGCTACTCGTCCCTGCTCCTGCCTCTCCTTCTCTGCCCATGCCTGCTGCTCGGTTGCTCGCGCTTCCCTCAGCCCAGTAATCTCCTCATCCAAGCACCTCACACGAGCTGCCATCTGCGCCTCACAGCCCGCCCACTGCTGCTCCTTCCGCGTCCATTCCTCTACCTCAGATGCCCACCTGCACTGCTTCTCCGCCCACGCCTGCTGCTCCGCTGCGTGTGCCACTTTCAGCCCAGTAATCTCCTCATCCAAGCACCCCACCTGAGCTGCCATCTGCGCCTCACAGGCCGTCCACTGCTCCTCCTTCCGTGTCCACTCCTCTAGCTGAGAAGCCCAGCCGCTCTCCTTCTCACCCCATTGCTCCTCCTTCTGTTCCCACTCCTGCTGGGCCGCATGCATCGCCCGCTGCGCTGCCTGCTGCTCCGCCTCCGCCTGCTCCCGCTCCTCCTCCGCCTGCTTTCGTACCTCTTCAAGTTCCTGCGCCAGTCTCTGACCCTCGTCCCGCAGAGCAACCACCACCCCTTCCAATCGCCTCCTCTCCTGCTCCAGTTCCTCCCTCTCCATCTCCACCTCCTCTCGCTCCTGCTCCGCCTCTTTCTTAGCCTGCAGAAGCTCCTGCTTCTCCTGCTCTGCCCCGGACAGGCTCGCTTCAAGCCATGCCACGTGCTCCTTCTGCTCATCCGCTTCCTTCGCCCATTCCCGCTCCTTCGCTGCCCACCTCAGCTGCTCCTTGATCCACCTCAGCTTCTCCTCATCCCACTCCTTCTCCCTGCCCACCCACTCCTCCTCCCTCGCCCTCTTCTCCTCCTCCCACTCCCTCTCGGCCTCACTCCTCTCAAAACCGCAACCAGCCAGGTCCAACCGCACTGAAACGAGCTGCACCGCTGCCTCTTGCGCCTCTCCGTTCCAAGCCTCCTGCTGCTTCTCCCAGGCCCTCTCCATCCTCTCGCACTCCCTAAACTTAACGTTCAACTCGCGTGTAGCTTCTTCCAGCTTGCGCTCCTTGCGCTCCAGCTCCGTTTTAACCACAACGAGTTCTGCTTGTAGCGAGGATAACCACTGCTTGGACAGCTTCTCTGACTCTGCCATGCTCCTCTCCAGGCGGGAGACCTCCGCCCTGCAACGCAAATCAATACGGGACACACGAAAAAAGTCACTTCTGAGAACTTTCAAAGGTCCTTCCAAACGGGAAACCTCTGCCACGAAAAGAGGCAGGCTTGAGTCACCCTGTCACAAGTCAGTCATCAGTCTGTCACTTTTCAGTCAGTTGTCAGTTGTTCCTTCTCCCTTCAAAGCACATAAGCAGCCCTGAAAAGCACATACCAAGCACTCAGCTCGTCAGTTCCTCACCTGGTGGAGGAGAGGTCCGCGGCGAGCAGGGCTTTCTCCTTCTCCCCCTCCAGCCGAGCTCCCTCTGCTGACATCAGCTGCGCCGCCCGCTGCTCTCTCTCCGCCAGCAGAGCTTCCGCCTGGGGAACAATGAAGGAGCGGGGGAGGGACGCAGTGTTTTTGAGGCGTCTCAAACAGGGCTTTCGCTGCCATCGTCTGCGCCACCAGCAGCACCCAACAAACACACCAGCTCCTGTTACGGGAGTACACAAAACACACATCAACACAACCAACAGCACCGGCATCTACCTCATCCCGTCCCCTCACCTCTGCCTTCTGCTCTTCCTTCGCCTGTAGCAGCTGCTTCCTCACCTCCGCCGCCTCCGCCCCCGCCTTCCCTTCCGCCTCCTCTGCCCGCGCCAGGTCCCTCCGCAGCCCCGCCACCATCTCGCTCAGCCGCGCGCACTCCACCCTCCCCGCGTCCCTCTCCCGCAGCGCCGCGCGCACCTTCGACTGCAGGCTCCTGATCACCCTCCCCGTCTCCTCGCTCTGTCCGTACCCCACACTCCCCACACTCCCCGTCGTGCCCACACTCCCCGTTGTGCACACACTCCCGGCCCCTCCCCCCAGACTCTCCTTTCCTGCCGCCAGACTCAGCCTTCCCCAAGCCCCTGGCGTGCCTATCTGGTATCCAGCTAGTGCACCCCCAACCGCGGGGGCTGGGGACGGGGGAGGGGCCGAGGCGGAGTGGGGGGGATCAGCCGCGTTCATGCCTGCACACTGCTGTTGAGGCACCTCAGGGGCTGTTTCTGCAGAAGCCGATTCTGTTTCGTCACACGCGGATCTGATGCCTTCGAACTCCTGGAACGCCTCTTTCAGCACCTGCAGCTGCTGATTCAGTTGCTCGTCCTTCCACTTCTCCTCCTCCTCCTCATCCTCCTCCTCCGCCTCCTCCTCTTCCACCTTTTCCGCCTCTGCTTCCTCTCCCCCCTTGCCCTCAATGTCGCCGTCATCTCTATCCTCCTTCTGAAGAGGAGAAAAAGCGGAAGAATGCAGCAAACTTGTTCACAACTGTAACAGTTGGATATACACGAAAGAAGAATCACTCTGAGCATGGCCGACTGCCACGTCAATAATGGAATGCTGACGACTATGTGATTGATCCCAGAGCAAGCGCAGCTACTCGCTTGCCAAGTGAAAACTACATTGAGCATGACCATGCTGGATAAAACCAACAATCGTGCTCTCACACAAAATACAAAACGCAGCATCCTTCTTCTCTTTTTACCTCTGCGACCTTGGCTCTCGTCGTCTGCTTCTTTGAAAAGACCTCTAAAATACTCCAGCATACATTGTAACTTAAGAGCCCCATCTCCCCTGCTCTCACCGTGAGGGAACCCACCAGCTCTTCAAGGGTCGCCTTCTTGACCTCCGCCACCTTGGCCCTCGTCCTCTGCTCCTTCGACAAGACCTCTAAGATAATCCAACATACAAAACAGCGCAAGAACCCCAGCTTCAGTGCTCTCACCGTCAGGGAAGCCACGAGCTCTTCAAGGGTCGCCTTCTTGACCTCCGCCACCTTGGCCCTCGTCCTCTGCTCCTCCACCTCTCGCTCCGTCTCCTCCGCCTTGCCTCTCCACCTCTCCACCTCTCCCTTCAGGTTCTGCCCAGGGAACGACACAGCAACACGTCAGCACAGAAACACATCAGCACAGCAACGCTCAGCACAGCACCACGCGAGGAAAAGGGTGGAGGAGACAGGCAGGCAGACAGCCAGGTGCTTCAAGGAGGAGCCAAACCATGCCTGCTTTGAGTCGGCTTGAGAAGGACCATACCCACACGCTGCCGTGAGACACACCTGCAGCTGCTTCTCCAGATGCGGCAGGCGCCGCTGCTGCACCTCCAGGCGAGCCAGCTCCTGCTCCACAAGAGGTTGGAACCAGCCTGTCCCTGCTATACATAGCCTTGAAAGAGTGGGCAACCATACCTATGCACGGACCGTACCCACACGCTGCCGTGAGACTCACCTGCAGCTGCTTCTCCATGTGCGGAAGACGCCGCTGCTGCACCTCCAGGCGAGCCATTTCCTGCCTCGCCTCGCCCAGCTCCTTCTCTGCCGCCTCCCACTTGCGCCTCCACGAAGCAGCCTGGAAAGGGATCACGGGATGGGAGTTCGGGGGAAGTTGTAGCACGTGTGTGGGAATTCAGGAGTCGTTGTGAGAATTCTCAAAGCTGCTGCACCTCCAGGCGAGCCAGCTCCTGCCTCGCCTCGCCCAGCTCCCTCTCCGCCGCCTCCCACTTGCGCCTCCATGCAGTGGCCTGGAGAGGAACCAAGGGATGGGAGTTCGGGAGGACGAGCAGCACGTGTTGAGGGCCCGAGAGGTTGGGTCGTGACGGGATTGGTGAACTTGAGGAGCTCAAAAGGGAGAGAGGCCTGTTTCACCTCGTGCCAGCTCAAGTTACAACACAGCCAAGTATTGATCAGCACTCATACCTGCTCCAGCTTGTTCTGGCACTCCTTCAACTTCTCCTTCGTCTCCTCTTCGCGCCACTTCGCCTCCTCCACCTGTCGCTTCAGCCCCGCCGTCTCCCGCCTCAGAGCCTGCACCTGCTCCTGCAGCTGCTGCTCCCTCTGCAGACGCCGCCACCCGTCTCCGTCCTTCCCCTCCGCCACTGCCAAGGCGTTCTGCGGGTTGAGTGGGAAACACAAAACGCATGCAACAACACATTCAGGCGCCTCAGTTTCCGCGTGCATCTGCTCCTGCACCGACTGCTGCTCTGTGAACGCCAGCCTCCGTCTCCGTCACTCGGCGTGATCACTAAGGCGAGGCAGCCTGCGAAAAGCGTGGAAAGCACACAACGTCTCTTGACGCAAGGCACGCAGGGACATTCTGGTAAATGTTTTTATTCCGTTTCAGGTCAGCGTGACAAACGTAACCAGCGGCGCGTCGTCGTTTCAAGCAACAGCAAGGAAATCGCCACGGGACGAATCGTGTGATAACAAGGGTGTAACAACTTGCCACGCCGCGATCATGACATCGACACTCTTCTTCCTCATCCAATGGAACCGTAACTTGTGAGACGTGTCAAACTCAGAATGTTTCGAAAACAAATGAAGGAAAAGCCCTGAAACTAGATCGTGGTGATATCATGGTGCTTCTCCGTGCGAACGAACCTCGAGTTGCTTCCGTCGGTTGACCTCCGTGTCCCTGGCAGCCATCGCCTCCTCCAACTCCATCTCCTTCTCCTCGTACTCCTCCAGTAACCGCTCGTGCACCGCCTGCAATAGAATGCAAAAAGCGCATTTCAAGATAGGCTTTTCAGCTTTTTTTTTCGAAACACATAATCAGATACTGTCGGGGAGAGAGTAACTATCGCCATTCGGACTGCCAACTGTTATAGACCAAATTTTAGAGATGCATAAGAAAATAATCAAAGTCATATTAAATTCACGCAAAAAGGAAGTTATGGAAAAAACCCGAAATGGAAATGGTACCTCGAGGTCTCGTTTTTCCTCGAAGATCGCCTTGGCCGCTCGTTGCGCTTCATCCCGCTCCTCCATCAGCTGAAGCACCTCCTTCCGCTGCACCGCTGGGGACTGGCGCACCTTCGCCCCGCCTCGCACTCCCGTGAACGGCGTCCCGCCTCGCGTTCCCGTGAACGGCGTTCCGTAGCTCCCGTGGTGAACGGCGCTGCCGGGATGGAATTTGTGATTCGTGGTGTCACGAAGCGAAGATGCGAACGCCGACGGTCGGTAGTGAATGTCGCTGTTCGTCTCGCGCTTGCTCAGCGGGGTGTGAATTTCCGACACGGACTGCAGGAAAGCGTTGATGCCATAGTTGTTGTTGCTGCCGTTGCTGATGTTGTTCATGGTGTTGAAGGTGGGGTGTTCTGGCTTCTCCATTTCGCAGTGGTTCTCGTCGGTGGTGGATGAGGGTTCCACCATGGCTGCGTTATGTCAAACCTCACTCAAATGCCTTGCTTCAGAAGCACTCAGCTGTCCGCTAGTGACACCCTGATTTCTCACTGCTAAGGACGATGCGATCAAAGAGATGTGACGATAACGTGAGACGACACGTTTCTTGACCAGGGATCGGTATTAATGACGTGATGAGTCGCTTGCAATCCTGAAAGTGATTTAAACCGCTTAGAAGAGTTCAATCTTAATTCTCCCGTCTAGAATAAACCGTTAACCTAGCGGACCTCGCTTCAGAAGACACGAACTTAACCGTATCAAAGGTGATCGTTGAAGGAAGCGTGGATGTGAACTAGCATCACGCACCAAGCTAATACGCCGACCCTAACACAATAGGAAACGCGAAGCACTCACACTCACAGCACGCTCAGCTTCTGCCTGCAATATGCCGCACCTAATCACATTCTTAGCTCCAAAATCAGGAATACTGCATCAAGAATCCATGATAACCAGTGCAGAATGGTTCTTAGGCTAGAGGATTCATTGTCTGACAACCAGAGCACTCAGGAACCCAGTTAGAAAGAAATCAACCTTCAGCGTTCAGCATTCAGCCTTCAGCAGTGTTCAGCGTTCAGTGCTCAGCATTGAGGATTCAGGGATTCAGAACAGAGGGATTCAAGATTCAGGCTTGACAGTCAGGGTCCAAGATCATTGTTCAAGGGGAATTCCGAACCAAGAATGTGCGGTTTAGATTTTACGGCGGCTTGGTTTGGAGGGGGGAAAATTTGGTTTGAACGGAGCACTGAACCTAGAAGGCTGGTTTGAACATCCAGCGCCTCGGTCCCAGCTTGTCAGTCTGACATCGAGTTTGAAATTTACCGCCAAATTCTGAACGGACTTCATTTTGAGTGTGCAAACTCGATGGCACTCTGACAAAATCAACTTGATGAGTGTTGATAATACCGTGTACACAGCAATCTCTCAAACGAAAGTTGATTTCCTTATTTGAGCTGGCTCTAGTTTACCTACAAAGTGGAGCACTTCCTCTATCAATGACGGCCCATTTCATCATCCCATACATCACCCTTGCAGAAAATAATACTGAAAGTTTCCAATCATAATGTAAATGGATGCAATGATTATGTAAAGGCTAAGAACTTTATTACTCAAACTAGGTCAATTGGTTAAAGATGAAGAAGCTTGCTATCTTACACGTTTCACATAGCTGCATCCGCATAAATCTCTCAAAGCAGGTTTGCAGCGCGAGTCACACTCAGCTCCATGACACTCAAACATCCATAGCGCAGGCATAGCCACTGCGCCACCCCTCGTGCTAGAACCACGAGCAAGGATCGCTTCAGGCTGGATTAGGATCGCTTCGTAGGCGTGCTGGTGAAGACGACTCATCTCAGCGTCTGTTGCTCTGTTGAATCTCGTCTAGCTCTGCGCGGAGGGGACTGGAATTTCCACGTGGAGGCAAAATGATTCACGCTGAATGTGAACGGATCCTCTCCGCGATCCCAATAAGGCCAGTCTGGTGGCCTCCATACGCGCCTGAGAGGCCATCTCCTCCACTGTATACTCCTCATCGTCATTGTCAAGAGACAGGGCTTCATCGCGGCATTTGACATACTCTTGAAAAACAGAACTGCGCTCGATAGACGCAGCCTCGGTATGCGTGATTCCTGAGCTCCCGCTGGCTTGACTTGAAGGCTTCGGTGTAGGCAATATCGGCTTCGAAGGACGATAAATCTCTCCAGGAGCGATGGTAGCCGCGAAAGGGGAGGCGAGAGTGGGAGCGAAAGGGGACACGAGCGGGGATAGAGCGGCAGACGATGATGATGTGGCAGCTCCGCGATTCACGGAACCGGTTGAGCAGGACTTGGGGAAGCGCGACCGTGCAGCGGCGCTGCCGAGGGACGGCGTCTTCACCGCGAAAGAATAGTGAGCCATGGCTGTTTGTCGAAGAAGCTCTTCTGCTTAGAGTCGCGAGAGGCGTCTCGAGTGCGAGAGTTGGGATTTCGTCGAAATAAATAAGATTGCTGTGAAAAGAGTGCATTGGAGAACACAAACACGCGGGCTATATACGCTGGGCGTGGCTGTCGAAACATAGCACGACCTGTGACGCAAGGGACGCCATGAAGCACTAAGCTGGACGACGTTTCTGAAGGCATCGATCCCCGTCCTAGGACCAGCAGTCATCAGTCCTGGTTCGGGCAACTATACGGATAAACGGACACTTATTCGATTTTCGACGTTTGAACTAGAAATCCGATATGCTAACAAATTAGAGGGCTGCGAGAGAACTTCTATCTAAACAGTAGCACAGGTTGGCCTGAAGCAGGGTGGGGCTGCATCCTTGTTGAACACAGAAATCGAGGTTCAGGGTGGTTCCTGATTAACATAGTACGGTACACTACGGCGCAAACTGCATCAAGCAGCACTTCTTTGTGGCGAATCAGGTTGGTGAGCAAGGTAAAGTGGTCATTGGTCAATATGATACATGGGGCGCTCCTGATTGGTTAGGAGGGGTGGGTGGGAGCTTCAGCCGAGCATACGGATGCTGGAGGAAACGAATCCTCCAACTCCCCGTTTTGGAGGATTCGTGTAAAAGAATTGTCTCTGGCAGTCGAATGAACCTTAGGGCGTGTCCAGCGCGTACATTTTGGGAATATTAGTACCTTCACACGTTTCCCGGCTCAAAAAATCTCACTGTACCAAAAAACGAATATAAGGTGAGTCGAGTCCGAAGGATTGGGCCTTCCAGCGCGCGGACACAACCCTCTGCACACAAATTTCTACAGTTCGTGGAAAACGAGGTAACTGGTTGCCTCGTCTATCATCGCACAGAAATTCACGCACAAGCGAAAATTCCACGCTTGAACGAAAATTACTGTAGCGGGCAGGACGCAATGCTGTACCCTTGTTCGCGCGCACACTGATTCCAGTAACGTGTGTTAGACGATTCGTCGTACGCGCAGCGGGCGTGCCGTCTTGTGAACGGAAGCTGATCGTGTCCAACCTTTTTGTAAAATGCAGTGTTACAATAGGAAATGTGGTAACTGAATGGGTTTATGAACTGTAAATGTACGCGCTGGACACGCCCTTATGGTCTCGGGGACAATGTGCCCACTGGTTTGGTTCGTTGGACATGTGGAAGCTTTTGAGACTTTTCCATAACCGAAAGCTATCGGTCGGACGCCTTTGGACGGAAGCTTCCAGATAAATTTGTGCCCATCCCGATTCGCTGGGTTTCTGGAGCAGCCGATGATCACTTGCGGGATCAACCGAAAATCTCGACTGAAAGCTGAAGGGAATATTCGCGCTGCTGGAGAAACCAGATGTCCGTCTGCTGCCCGCGGGCACAAAAACGAAACCCCTGTGTTTCGTCAGGCCAAGCTCACTTTTCTGAAAGAATGTGGATGGAACCTCGCCTGTGTTTGGCTAAGGTCAGACAGTCACCACTCAGAAACTTCAGCTCTAGCTGAAAACCTTCCCGTTATGCGTGGATGTGACTGTAGCGATTCTCGCATGATCCGCATGACCCGAACTCCACTGCTCTCAAACTGTACTGTACTGTACCGTACTCTGTCTTCCCCAACCGCCCTGAACCTCGGATTCTGATAGTTTCACCTGGAAATGTTTCTCTGCCTTTGGCCAGCATGGGTTCACTGTTTAGATAAGACTTTCCCTCACCATCAACTAAAACAGCCTCCTATTTTGCACGCGTATCAGATTGCTTTCTCAGAACCTCGAGAATCAAAGAATTCTTCATCAATCGAATTGATTCGCCTAATAGCGTCGAAACGGGAATTCTAACCGCTGGTCCTAGTACCTGGACTGGCAATGTCTTACCGCATCGTGACGCAGGTCGCGTTAAAACCAGGGTGCACATTCATAATGGGTGTACTCCCATCGGAAAGAAATTGGTGTTCGGCGAAAAAGGTTTGGCAGGAACGAAAATACACTAGGAAGAATGGATGTGGCGAGAAATACGAAAGTGGGCGAATTGTGGCTCACTGAATTGAATCTGCGCCTGCCTGCAGCTAGGGGCTGCGGAACGACCTTCCATTTCCGCCACCCTCCCAGACACCATAGTGATGAGTGAAGAAAACGTCTCGCACTGTCTCGCCACACCAACCAACCGCCAATACACATCAGGAACCAGGCGCCGGAGAATGTGAATAGGCAAGCAACGCGCATTTCTTCTAATGACGCGAAGGGATTATGTTTAGGGTTATAAGAGATAGGGTTAGGCGAAATGTGTGGAATCGCAGCGAGTGTGTTTAGATATATAGAACCATCGTGGCAGGACACCAATGGGGAGGGAACCGGGCAGCACAACAAGGATTTCGTCAGTGGAGAGCCCCCCAAATGACATATGATTATGGGGCGTGGAGGTGCGGAGGCGGCATGTTGCATTATCGCCATAGAACAGCGCGAAAAGTAGGGTAGAAAGGCATAAAACTCGCAAACCGAAGAATAGGGTAACGGTAGGAAGGCGACGCGTGACTCATCGCCCGCACCCGCACCGTGACTACTGTCCACGCGACAAGAAGACATTCGCGCGGTCGACTTTGAAAAATAAAAAGGTGGCCATCTATGTAACCATTTCCACACGCAGCCCTTACTTGCATTCTCCACGCCCCTCACTCTCATTGTATTACCCAACACCGGCACTTACTTTCCCCCACCCAGCTATTCAGTTTCCCCCATGCAGCTGTTTACTACCCCCCAGCAGGCTATTTACTTCCCTCCATCCAGCTACCTACTTCCCCCCATCCAGCGTCTACCATCCCCCCACCCAGCTATGACCTTCCCCCCCATCCTGCTAATTACTTCTCCCCACCCAGCTTCTAACATCCCCCCATCCAACTACTAACTTTCCCCCCCAAGTAGCTACTTACTTCCCTTTCCCCCACCGCGCTACCTTCTTTCCCGGTCATTGGGCTACTTACCTCCCCCCACACAGCTACTCACTTCCCCCCACCCAGCTACTTACTTCCCCCCACACAGCTACTCACTTCCCCCCACCCAGCTACTCACTTCCCCCCACACAGCTACTCACTTCCCACCACACAGCTACTCACTTCCCCCCACACAGCTACTCACTTCCCCCCATACAGCTACTCACTTCCCCTCACCCAGCTACTCACTTCCCCCCACCCAGCTACTTACTTCCCCCCACCTAGCTACTCACTTCCCCCCACACAGCTACTCACTTCCCCCCACACAGCTACTCACTTCCCCCCACCCAGCTACTCACTTCCCCCCACCCAGCTACTCACTTCCCCCCACACAGCTACTCACTTCCCCCCACACAGCTACTCACTTCCCCCCACCCAGCTACTCACTTCCCCCCACCCAGCTACTCACTTCCCCCCACACAGCTACTCACTTCCCCCCACCCAGCTACTCACTTCCCCCCACCCAGCTACTTACTTCCCCCCACCCAGCTACTCACTTCCCCCCACACAGCTACTCACTTCCCCCCACACAGCTACTCACTTCCCCCCACCCAGCTACTCACTTCCCCCCACACAGCTACTCACTTCCCCCCACACAGCTACTCACTTCCCCCCACACAGCTACTCACTTCCCCCCACCCAGCTACTCACTTCCCCCCACCCAGCTACTCACTTCCCCCCACACAGCTACTCACTTCCCCCCACACAGCTACTCACTTCCCCCCACCCAGCTACTCACTTCCCCCCACACAGCTACTCACTTCCCCCCACCCAGCTACTCACTTCCCCCCACCCAGCTACTTACTTCCCCCCACCCAGCTACTCACTTCCCCCCACACAGCTACTCACTTCCCCCCACACAGCTACTCACTTCCCCCCACACAGCTACTCACTTCCCCCCACCCAGCTACTCACTTCCCCCCACCCAGCTACTCACTTCCCCCCACCCAGCTACTTACTTCCCCCCACCTAGCTACTCACTTCCCCCCACCCAGCTACTCACTTCCCCCCACCCAGCTACTTACTTCCCCCCACCTAGCTACTCACTTCCCCCCACACAGCTACTCACTTCCCCCCACACAGCTACTCACTTCCCCCCACACAGCTACTCACTTCCCCCCACCCAGCTACTCACTTCCCCCCACCCAGCTACTCACTTCCCCCCACACAGCTACTCACTTCCCCCCACACAGCTACTCACTTCCCCCCACCCAGCTACTCACTTCCCCCCACCCAGCTACTCACTTCCCCCCACACAGCTACTCACTTCCCCCCACACAGCTACTCACTTCCCCCCACCCAGCTACTCACTTCCCCCCACCCAGCTACTCACTTCCCCTCACCCAGCTACTCACTTCCCCCCACCCAGCTGACATCCGCCCTTGCTCCCCTCTCGTTCCCTCCACCCAGCTACTGGCCATGTCGTCTGATTGTGAGGTGCGGAGTTCTGCCCTTGAAGAGTTGCGTGACATGGCGAACAAATGCGAAGTGAAGAGTCTTGGTATTTCTAGTCACATGCAGCTGCCAATCTGTTTCCTACGGATTGGTTTGTCATGCTTGATGGGAAGGACTGCATCCATTGCCGATCTGGTGTTCTTCTTACTAATGGTGGGGGATGGGGCAATCGAGAAGCTGATGATGGCAGCAACAAGGGCTGGTGAGATGTGACGGAGTTGTGGGACAGTTTGGGGCATGTAGTTGAGATGAACAAGAAAGATTCATTAGTTCCTAATCTTTTGTTCGCGCAGGATCCGATAGGACAACCGCAGGCGAAAGCGTGAAAGTACTTCTAGCGACATTTGGTGCATCTTTCAGATGCAGGGCAGATATTGCATCAGAGGATCTATCAGATCTTACGATGCGGGATCCTTATGGCATTGCAGGTCTACGATACGGCTTTCCTGCATACACCCTGGGTCCCGATGGAGCGTTGTATCGGGATGGCCGGGGGTTTCAATGGGGTGGGGCACGGAAGGGCTCCAACTATGATGCTGGTACGCACGATCGATTCTTTTCCGAAATGCGGCGCAAGTGTGACAAGTGTGAAACCGAGACATGGATTGACATTATTTTTCCTGGCGAATGTTGTGTCATATCACCCACAATCATGTACTTATTCGAGGCATCCCTAAACTATTATGAAACTACAATTGCCCCCACGATCTAAATTCATGGCAGCTCGACAGGATAGGCCTGTCCATGACGTCACGGCGGGTGTGGAATGGCAAGACGTGGTGATCGGGAGTGATGCGCCAGCGCGCCCAGACCAAGGCACTGTGGCTGTTGAGGTTGTGCATGAGCTGAGCGGACTGCGCGGGCCACCACCTGACTTCCGTCAGGAAACACGTTGCAATGGTGATGCAAGCCCGAGGATAGCAAGGTACTTACGTGATGAACAGAATGCGTAGAGCCCGGACCCTTCGCATGTTGATGTCCCAATGGTGCGCATTCATGTACACATTCATACGATTCAATCACTAAGTTTTGTGCACATCTACCCACCCTTCTGCTCCCGTACACCGGCAGAGCATGTGCACCCCTCCCTCCCCACAGCACTGTGGCTGTTGAGGTCGTGCACGAGCTGATCGGACGGCGCGGGCCACACCCGGACCTCCGTCAGGAAACACGTTGCAATGGTGATGCAAGCCCGATTCCAGCAAGGTACGTACGTGTTGAACATCATGTATAGAGCCCGGACCCTTCGCATGCGTAGGGCATTCGGTGCGCATATAGTACACATTTATAATAGTTTGCTCATTAAGTGTTGCACCCATATACACACCCTTCTTCTCCCTTACAACGTCAGAGCATTTGCACCAACGCCCACCAAAACCACACCAATAAAGGGAGACGGTTGGACCATGCTTCCTCTCTTGGACGGTCTTCGCAACATCGTTTGCTTCCTTGACCCCATTCACACGCTACAGTTTTTTATGGTTTTGTCACTTCATTGTACGGGGGTGGTGGGGTGCAATGGTCGTATGAAAGTGAGGTCATGGAAATTGGGGTGGGCTGGACTTGGTTTGAAGTGGGAGTGTGACGTGTGCAGGAAGTCGATGACTTATTGGTCCATAAAACGGCAGCCACCAAACACCGATCCTTCTGTCCCTGGTCGAAAGCGTATGCCTCTGATGCAAAGGTTCATGGCGTCTTTTGCACTAGCTGGCATAGGGTATCAGGTGATGTCAGAGGTGGGTCGAAATGTAGGTGTTTGTGTACCATGTAAGACCACATTCTACAAGTATATGAGAGGGGCCGGTGGTTTGTGGGAGAAAATCATTCAGCATGCTGGTAAGTGTATGGAGGTTGTAAGGGAGGGCATAAAAAAGAGACCTGTTCCTGGTCATTGGGTGTGTGTGGATGGTCGTTGGGGTCAGCCCAGAGAGGCGGAGTGGGGTACTGTGACATTCCTTGATCCCACCACTCGCAAGGTACTGCACTGTGTTACTGTATCACGCACGGAAGAGGGGAATGTGTCCGCCACACAATTGGAGGGGATTGCATTTCGTAAGGGGATGACTGATCTAAAAAACTGGGGCTTCAAAGTGCATGGTATTATTACGGATGAGGGCGGAACATACAAAGCGGCGATAATTGGGACTGGGATACTTCACCAGATGGACGTCTGGCATAAAGGGAAGTTGCTAGCTCGGAAATTGGACAGGGATATGATCGACGCACGCAAGGATGAGCGGCGTGTTGAGGGTGCTAAAAACAACGAACACCTATGGGATGTCCCGCTCGAGCATCTACGAGCTTGGTTGCGCGAGCGGCTGGGAAAGGACATGAAGGGTGTGGGGAAGAAGGCAACGAAGAAAAAAATGATAAAGACCATCCGTCAGATGAGGGGATTCGTGTATAAGGATATTAGCAGTAGCCACTCGCCGTGGAAATTTCCAGAAATGCGGCGCGTTCAGATTGTGCGTCATGGGCATGGTAGGGGTGCTTCTAGTGCCGGCATGCAGCGGGGTAATGCGGATCGAGGAAGCGGGAGAGAGGGGGGGGGCACAGGTGTGGAAGGAGCTGCACATGTTGATGTCCCAATCGAGTGGGCATCTGGATGTGAGAGTGATTGGGATGGACGAGCCACGGTTAGCAGCGATTTTGTCTCGGGTTTTGTGTCTGTTGACATTCTTGAGGACGCGCCTGTCGTACCAGAAGGGTCTGAAGCTGCACTCCGGAATGTTGAGTACAGTGATGTACGGGAGCCATGGGGGTATGACCCTCATCCTGAGCACGGGGTGCGACCGTGTTCGGTCGTTTCATTCATGATCCTCCAGGCAGCTGGACAGTGTGGCAGGTCCACGAGAGAGGAGGCATGGAGGTACGAAGGCGAGGAGGCCCAGGCAAATGCTGACAAATTGACTCCTACCGATGGCAGTGCAGCAGGTATGTCATCCTTTCACAAACACTGGTAGGCATCATGCCAGCAGCGAACCAGAGAGCGGGGCAGATGAGGGTGGGGCTGGTTTGTCAGCACTCTGGCAGCAGGGGGGGCAGCTGAACAGAGAACCTGAGTTTTATGCAGCAGGGATGGGGCAGCAGAGTACTGGGCCGTCATGTGTTGACCAGCAGAATGGCGGGGCCCCTACGAGGCGGGCTGTAGAGTGGGGGGCATTAGAGTATGGGCATTAGAGTGAGGGGTTGCAGAGAGGTGGGCAGCAGAGGGTGGGGCAGCAGATGGTAGGGTAGTGGTTGGGTACTAGTGGGAAAGGCATTGCTGGTGGGTTGCAAATTCTGCACCCACACAATCATGCAAGGTCTTGATATGATAATTCTACCCATATTCGCACATCATGTCGACTTTACCAATTTTACCCTTCTCATTTGCCCCACCCCCTTTCAATAAGCCCATAATTTATGCAACTCCCCATACCCTTCAGATGATTCTGAATCAACAGCGGCGCAGAGGCTTGACAGGGCTGCAGAAGAACCGTCGCGGAAAAGACGTTGGGTTGAGAGGGGGGCTGGAAAAGGTAAGAGAGTGGCTGAAGGGGACGAAGGAGAAGAGGAAGGCGGGTCGGGGACGATCGTGCGCGAAGTGTCGGTGTCTCAGAGATTCTGCATTCATTTCCACCACGTAATGGCCGTGTGTGCTGCACGAGCTAGGGAAGGGGCAAATATGACACCAGAGCAGGTGGCGGCCGAGATCGGGAGTGCAGCGGACCATTGGGCAGGAGACCATTCTGGGTGCTCGCGAGGCTCTGATATATCGAGGTGTGTTGCGGACGAATGGGGGCCGGAAAGTGCCTTGTACGAGGAATTGTGGACCAAAACAGATGGCACCATATGTGTTGGGGGCAAGCAACTGGATGAACGAGTCTTTCCATTCACTGATATGCAAGTATGCCCCAAAACGCATTCGATTTCATGGCAGCATGCGAGCCAGGATAGGCCTTACAGCGTTGCACTGGAACAACTCGCTTGACCGTGAGGTTATTGCAACGAAGATCAGGATACGTCGTGCAACAAGGGTTCGGCGTGGAAAGACCGACAAGGTTCTTGGACCAATGAGATGGGACTGGGTCGACGAGATTCTGCATGATTGGAATTGCTTGGGTCGGGCAGCAGACTCGGATGCACCCGTACACCATACTTCAGATGCTTCTGCACCAGCCACTCCGTGCACACCTGTCCCACATTCTAGACCCCCTCCCTTCGCCGCCATAGTTCTGGATGTGACACCGGCACCTCTGTCCACGCCGCAAAAGCGTCGCAGGACGGGTGGACGGCCTCCGCCACGTGCGCAACGAGCTATTTTTGGTATGTTTCCCAGTCCATGTGCTCATATGTTGTTACTCTTCCTACTTCTAATCTTTTCAATTCCTGTTCGCTATGTACCATAACTTTGATGCATTATGACTGCCCTTCATTCTTTTACTGGTCAGGTTTTGATTTAGGTGCAAGGGCAAACTCAATGTACTCGAAAAACCCTAAACCCATCACACACAGGTGATTTACTCAACACGCGATGATGAACGAAGATGGAGTGGGGGCAATGGGTGGGGCAGCAGAGGGTGGGGCAGCAGAGCGTTGGGCAACAGAGTGCATGGCAGAAGGGCACGGTGCAGCATAATAGTGTGGAGCAGCAGATAGTGGGGCAGGAGAGAGTGGGGCAGCAGAGCGTGGGGCAGGAGAGAGTGGGGCAGCAGAGCGTGGGGCAGAGAAGTGTGGGGCAGCAAAGTGTGGGGCAATTGGCCTGTGGGGCTGAAGAGCGTGGGGCAGCAGATGGTGGGGCAGCCAAGGGTCGGGGCAGCAGAGTGGCGGGCACTGGATCAGCATAGCGTGGAGCAGCAGAACGTGGGGCCGTAGAGTGTGGGGCCGCAGATTGGCCGGCAGCAGAGAGTGGGGCCGTAGAGTGTGGGGCCGCAGATTGGCCGGCAGCAGAGAGTGGGGCCGTAGAGTGTGGGGCCGCAGATTGGCCGGCAGCAGAGAGTGGGGCCGTAGAGTGTGGGGCCGCAGATTGGCCGGCAGCAGAGAGTGGGGCCGTAGAGTGTGGGGCAGCAGAGTGTGGGGCTGTATATTGTGGGGCTCTGCTGCCTGTGCTGCGCATAATACGAATCCAGCACCTGCTCTATCACCTCCATGAGCATCTCCGGTTTTCTGTGCTTTGCAGCTCGACTGGATTTATGGGACCAGTGGTAGGGTATTCAAAGTGGAGGCGCGGCACGGCGTTGTCTGCTCTATGTCAACGCGGAAACAAGTGCACTAGTAAACGCGCCTCTATGTGTATCTTATGTGCCATAACGCAATGGATCACACCGTGGTGTTGTGCTTCTGACATGGTGCCAAGGGTAATTCTGTAATACCTATAACCCCCATAGTACCGTACAACCCCCAGGACTTACTATCAACCCTATTTACTATTTACCAAGATTCTGCATGTGCGTACAATAGTAAGGATCGACGTGTGTTATTGGCTCTTTTTGTCGTGTGAAATACCCCATTGCTTTATATTGACGGCTAGCATGACACGTTACAACAAATGTGTAGCTTCATCATGATGAGGGTACACCCAGATTGATATAAAATATTGCCGTGTGAGCATAGCGCTGCAGGAGCCCTGTGTGGATTCTTCGCGGCAGGTAGGCCCACCGTGTGCCTGCCGCCATTGAGGAGAATCGAGGGCACGGGTGAAAGAGGCAGAACAGAGAGGAGAGAATGGTTGCCTTGAGGAAATTGGAGGGCAGGGAGGAGAGAGGATGGAATGAGAAGTGAGAGGGCAGATTGGGAGCGCCAAGGCGTGGAAGAGAGGAATTAGGGGATGAAGTGGGGAGAGAGGGGAGGAAGAGCGCACACCCATACCCACCCGCATGTGCATGCCAGATGGCGATGTGAGGTTGTTGATGACAGGCGGCACCTGTGGTATGGAGGGCACAGCGGGCATGATTGCGAGGATGTGAGGTGAGGAGTGAAGATGGGGAGCATGAGCATTGACACATGGGACATGACAGCACATGGTTCCCTGGGCAAACGGGGAAGGGGAACGCAGACCACTGGACAGAGTCGAATGGAGGGACCGGTAATTAGAGGAACAAAGGAGTTGAAGTGCCGGCATTTTGGAGATTGGAGGGCTCGAAGGAAAGAGTAGGAAGTGCAGGGCAGGGCAGGGCGATCTTGGTAATCAAGTTCGTTACATGTAAGCATGCGAGAGTAGTGCAATCCTGATGGGACTCGTGCACGCCGACACGAGTAGAAAGGAAGGGGAAGCTAATCATCTCCACCAGGAAGAGGAACAAGGGTCAGGGCGGAGCACCTGCAGTAAGGATGGGAGAGTGATGAGGAAGAGGTGAGGTCACAGATGAGAGCGACCGGCAAGAGTAGAGGGGTGAGAGTAGAGGCATGAGAGTAGAGGGGTGAGAGTAGAGGCGTGAGAGTAGAGGCGTGAGAGTAGAGGGGTGAGAGTAGAGGGGTGAGAGTAGAGGGGTGAGAGTAGAGGGGTGAGAGTAGAGGCGTGAGAGTAGAGGGGTGAGAGTAGAGGCGTGAGAGTAGAGGCGTGAGAGTAGAGGGGTGAGAGTAGAGGGGTGAGAGTAGAGGGGTGAGAGTAGAGGCGTGAGAGTAGAGGGGCGAGAGTAGAGGGGTGAGAGTAGAGGGGTGAGAGTAGAGGGGTGAGAGTAGAGGGGTGAGAGTAGAGGCGTGAGAGTAGAGGCGTGAGAGTAGAGGCGTGAGAGTAGAGGGGTGAGAGTAGAGGGGTGAGAGTAGAGGGGTGAGAGTAGAGGGGTGAGAGTAGAGGGGTGAGAGTAGAGGCGTGAGAGTAGAGGCGTGAGAGTAGAGGCGTGAGAGTAGAGGCGTGAGAGTAGAGGCGTGAGAGTAGAGGGGTGAGAGTAGAGGGGTGAGAGTAGAGGGGTGAGAGTAGAGGGGTGAGAGTAGAGGAGTGAGAGTAGAGAGGCGAGGAGGCAGAGAGGCGAGGAGGCAGAGAGGCGAGGAGGCAGAGAGGCGAGGAGGCAGAGAGGCGAGGAGGCAGAGAGGCGAGGAGGCAGAGAGGCGAGGAGGCAGAGAGGCGAGGAGGCAGAGAGGCGAGGAGGCAGAGAGGCGAGGAGGCAGAGAGGCGAGGAGGCAGAGAGGCGAGGAGGCAGAGAGGCGAGGAGGCAGAGAGGCGAGGAGGCAGAGAGGCGAGGAGGCAGAGAGGCGAGGAGGCAGAGAGGCGAGGAGGCAGAGAGGCGAGGAGGCAGAGAGGCGAGGAGGCAGAGAGGCGAGGAGGCAGAGAGGCGAGGAGGCATAGAGGCAAGGAGGCGTGGTGGCGAGGATGCGAGGGTCGGGGCTGCAGCTGCTCGTGCTGAGTGGTGTGGTGGGTATTGAAAGAGGAGGATGAGTGTGGTGGTGTCGAGAGGGTCAGGTGAGAGTGAGACTGCAGGCATGGAGGGCTGGGGAGGGGAAGGAGAGAAGGGGTTTTTGCGGTGACGCTGAGTGAGAGGGGGAGGAGGAAGCGTGATGTGGTGCCGAACTCGAAGGCGACGGAGAGAGGGATTGGCGGGAAAGTAGGGTGATGGGGTGGGGGAAGAGAAACGGGTGGGAAAGTAAAAGTGGGGAAGGGCACCCTGGTGCGGTGGCGTGCTGGCGGGGTGGAAACTTGGCGTGGAGGCGAGGAGGCGAGGTGGCGCTCCCGCGAAGAGGCGCGGAGGCGAGGTGGGGAGGTGGCGCTACCGCGAGGAGTCGCGGAGGCGAGGCAGCGAGGTAATGAGGTGGCGCGGAGGCGAGGAGGAGGGGAGACGCTGCCGACGCGTTCCTTCAATGACGCGGAGCGCACACTAGCTGTAGGCGCGGCCTTGGGGCCGCACTTTTTTTAGTGAAGGTCAGCGAGATGAATACGGGATGGGAGGCGGGGTTCCTTTGTCAGATTACGCTTGTAGTATTCTCGTCGCGGCAGAGAATACGCGACGAGTTCCTTGCTTGTAACCCTAACTCTCGACCCCATTATGCGCCTCGTGCAGCGCCGAAGTGGCGGGTGCGACGTGGTCAGGCGAGCAGAGAATCGCCAGACGAAATCCATATCGCGAGGAAATGGGGCGGTCTACGCTAGTAACGTGCTGCCTATCACTACTAGTAAGAATAGGCAGGTCGAGAAAGAAGTACACAAACATTCGATGTGTCCGTCAAGATGTGTGGGAAATTGGATTGGGGGAAATTGAGGGGGGAATACCACTCTGAACCACTCCGCTTTCTTCTGCTAAGCAAGAAATTGTTTCCCCCACCTCCACAGTCGGGAAACGCCGTAACTCGGCCGGTCAAGGGATAACCTTTGATGAAATTGGAATGAATGTGCACCCTGGTTTTAACGCGAAGGGCCACACCGACGAACATAAATCCGCCTGCTTGTGCTCTCCGATGCAGTTTCAGGCAAGCTTTTTTATCTCGCAACCCAGAGATCTCTCGCAACTCTGAACCGACGAGCTTCCTTCACAACCCATGGCCCGCTTCTCCGTCGCGGTGAACGCGCCGTCCCTCGGCAGCTCCGCACGGTCGCGCTTCCCCAAGTCGTGTTCAACTGGTTCCTTGAATTGCGGAGCAGTGACGTCATCATCCGCTGCCGCACTGTCCCCGCTCGCTTCCCCATTCGCCGCTTCCATCGCTCCTGAGGAGATTTATCGCGCTTTAAAGCTGAAGTTGCCTACCCTGGAGCCTTCGAGCGACACTGCCGAGGCTGCTTATATCGAGTACATCTCTTCTTTTTATGAGATTGTCAGTTGGCGTTTTGAAGCTCTTGACAGCTACGACGACGAGGAATATAACGTGTGGAAGATGGCCTCTCAGGCGCGTATGGAGGCCGCCAGACTGGTCATATTGGGATCGCGGCGCGGTTCCGTATATGTCCAGCGTGTTTGAGTTTGGCTCCTTGGAATGCAGCCCCTTCGGTGATTTGGACTAAAGGGGCAGCAGCAAAGTTGAGGGATGTATGTAGCTGTTGTTGCTACTGCAGCAGGCCCCTAACCTAAGGCTGGAAAAACAGAGTGGCCAGGCATAAGTATATGCTGGAAACCGAAATTGAAACTCGTCAGCCTGCTAAGGTGAAATTCGTTACAGAAATTTGACAGGTTTTCAAATTATAAATCAACTTGCAGTCATGTTCTTTTAAGGGGTGCTCTTATATCTGGGGTGACACAGGTATACAACCTGCCAGGTCCACTGGGTTATGCGTTTGTAGTGAGCTACATATACCCAGCCTTGTTGCATTCTGTGCAATATACATAACTAGTGTCAAGAACGGAATGATGGTTTCACTAAGGTTGGTTGGGGTACATAAACCTAACCCTAACTGTTGTACCCCATATGACACACATCACTAAGACTATAACATCTGACACACCCCCATAGCCTAAGTGAGGGGTGTCAAGCAAAACCAACAACGTACGGTCACAAGACCAGTCACAAAGCAACAAAGCTCAGGGTGGATCACAATGTCCACACACTCTGAGCACAAGCAAAAGAGCCACAAGGCCAGTTCAAGAGTTCACAGAGGTATATATAAAGCGTACAAACAAAGCAAACAGAGAACTCAATACTACGCAAGGCGAGAACCTGTGTCAACGAGACCTAACTGCACACAACACCTCTGGTGGTCACAAGGCGGAAGGGCCTTGGTGAAGATGTCTGCAGTGTTGGCCTCGGACTCCACAAAGTCCAAGCGAGCCTGTCCACGCCTCTGCAACTCCCGTAGAAGAAAGTACCTGACATTGATGTGCTTCACTCTGCTCTCCAGTCGCGGCTCTCGACAGAGGAGAATCGACGCCTTGTTGTCAGTGAACAAGGTCGGTGCAGAGCTCGGCCACTCCCCAAGGTCGGTGAGCAAGAAAGTCAACCAACGCAGCTCCTGTGCAGCCATGGCTCCAGCGTAGATCTCAGCCTCAGCGGTAGAGGTCGAGACCGAGGAGGAACGCGTGGACCTCCACGAAACATCTCCAGAGCCTAGGCTGAAGCATTACCCCTGAGTAGACCTGTGAGTCTCGGCGTCGTCAGCGTAAGAAGAGTCACAGTGTCCAGTAAGTACGACAGACTGTCTCCCTCCAAGAACCAGCCACACGCCTGATGTCGTCGCTAGGTACTTCGCCACCCTCACAGCAGCTGTCCAGTGAACTGGACGGTGTCTCCCTAGAGCAACAAAGCGAGCAAGGATGCTGAGAGGGAAGGCGAGGTCCGGGCGAGTACAAGTCATCAGGTACATGAGGCAGCCCACAAGCTCTGCGTAGGGACCACTAGGCTCAAACGGCTCGTCAGGAAAGGGTCCAGTGAGTCTGTGGTCAACAGCAAGAGGTGTGCGCTGTACTGTGGAGTGCTGAAGCTCGAACCGCTGAAGGACCTGCTGCACCATGTGTAACTGTGAGAGTGTAATGGTGCGAGCGGCTTTGACCCTGGTGATCTGCAGGCCAAGGTAGTGGCACAACTCACCAAGGTCAGTGCACGTGTGTCTCTTCTGCAGTTCGCGCTTCACGTCAGCCAAAGCAACCCTGTCAGCAGTGGCGAAAACCAGGTCGTCGACGTAGACCAGTACAAAGAACGGTGTGGAGCCACGACGAACAAACAGCGACGGGTCGGCAAAAGACGGCTGGAAACCGAGGTCAGACAGGGTAGAACGAAGGGTGTCGTGCCACTCACGAGTAGCCTGACGGAGACCGTAGACCGGTCGCCTCAGCCTCCACTGGGTCCCAGGAGGGAAAATGCCAGTGAAGGCAGAGGGACGACGCAACCAGACCTCCTCGTGTAGGCTACCCTGAAGGAAGGCAGTGGAGAAGTCGAGAGAGTGTAGCTCGTAGTCTCTCTGTGCTGCTACGTGCAGTAACACCCGAAGAGTGGTCATCTTCGGGGTAGGCGCGAAGGTCTGAAAGAAGTCAACTCCCTCGCGCTGACTGAAACCTCTAGCCACATAGCGCGCCTTGAAGACCGGAGGAGATCCCGGTGGTCGCTTCACCCTGAAGATCCACATGCCATCGACTACGTTCGCCCCAGGGGGGGGAACCTTGTCGACGTAAGTGCCTGTGGATCTGTAGGAGGCCATCTCTGAGTCCATGGCAGCTCTCCACTGAGAGGCCCAAGGCCCTGACACTGCCTCAGCGTAAGTGCAAGGAGTCGGTATGTCAAGGGCGTCGTGGTCTCCCTCAGGGACGAGCAGCATGGCACAGAGATGAGGGGAAGCGGATGCCAGGAACTCTAGCTCAAACTGCCTGTCCTCTAGGGCGTCACAGTCAAGGGCAGACTCACCCCCGACGGCCAGAGGACTGGTAGGAGGAGAAGCCACAAGACTGGTGGCGTAGTCAAGGCGGCGAGTAGAGGCAAACTTAGTGACTGCGGCAGTAATAGCGGAGACAGAGGACAGAGAAGCACGGGGGTCGGTAACAAGAGAGGCGAGAACACGAGAGAGAACAGGACGGAACGCACGGTAGTAGTCAGTGACAGGAGTAGAGAGGGAAGCAGTGAGGGCTGACTCAGGGGGAGAATGAAGCACAGACGGCGACGAACGTGGCGGACTAGGACGGAACAGGACAGTACGAAGGTTAGTGAGAGGGACAGGGGACGAGGGACGAGCACGAGGAGAACGAGAAGTCCAAGCGTGAGGAAGAGGAGGGGACAACGGAGGCTGAGAACGGGGGAAAACAGCTGGGGCGGAGTCAGGAGGAGGAAACGTGGGACCGTAGACACGGGGAGAGGGGGAGGGGGGAGGAGAAGGAGAGGGGAGACCGAGGGTCCAAAGACCAGAGACAGGAAGCGGAGGTGGCGGCTGCTGCTGCTGCTGCTGCTGCTGCTGCTCCTGCTGCTCCTGCTGCAGATCCTCCAGCTGCTGTAGCTCCAGCTGCTGCCGCTCCAACTCTCTCTCCGGGGCGGTGGTAGCCCCAGGACCGCCCTCCAAAGCACCAGTCGCACCACCCCCAGAGTCAGCACCACCAGCAGTAACGCGGCCAGTCCCAGACTCTCCAGGTCCCGCAGTGGGTGCACCCGCACCCTCAGTCGTAGCACCCCCAGGGACAGCTCCACTAACACCAGCTCCCCCAGGACTAGAGGCTCCTGCAGGCACGGGCTCAGCCTCAACTCCAGCACCCCCAGAACCAGGACCTCGCACAGGTACACTCTCAGCTCCAACTCCAACTCCTCTAGAGCTAGCACCTCCAGGGTCCTCGCCACGAACACCGGCTCCCGCAGGGTCTGCGGTAGGCTGTGAGGAGGATTGCGGAGAAGGAGGCTGCACCTGAGGGGGTACCGAGGGGTGAGGGGGTACCGAGGGGGGAGGGGTAGCATGGGACACACCTGACGGGGCTGGACCAGGGGGGGGAGGCTGTACCGGGGGAGCAGGAGGGGGAGCTGAAGTCAAGAAGAGAGGGGGAGGGGGAACCGGGAGACCTCGACAGGGGTACCGGATGTAGTAGGGGACGGACTCGTCGAAACGGACGTCACGGGAGTCAAAGAGCCGGTGAAGGGGAGGGTGGTAAAAGGTGAAGTCAGAGGAGTCCTCTGGGAAACCGAGGAAGACACATGGAATGGCGCGAGGCGAGATCTTGTCCGCGGAGGTGTCACGAACAAGTGCCAAGCAACCCCAGACACGAAAACGCGGCGCAGCACCAGGGGACCCGGTCTTAAGACTGGTCGGTGAAACCTCTGGCCGAGAGGCACGGGGCCAGGGGTTCAGCTGGTGAGTGGCGTACCGAACCGCGTAGGGCCACAGAAAATGGGGGGCACGGGCTTGAGTCAAGGAGGTGCGGGCAATCTCCATGACCAAGCCTATGCGGCGCTCAGCAACCCCATTCTGCTGTGGGGACTCTGGAAGCATCCATGACTGACGAATGCCCTGCTCGCGACAGAATCCAGCGAGAACGCCGGAGCGAAACTCACCCCCGCGGTCGGAATGAAGACAGCTGACACGACGACCACGAGTGTCCGCAGTGGTAAAAAACCACCGGATCAGCGTAGAAGTCACCTGTGACTTATTCGCCAGGGGGAACACTGTGGTGTAGCGAGAGTAGTCGTCAACGACCACCAGAAAGAAACTCTCTCGCTCAGGGCCAGGGCGAGCGGCGGGGCCCCAGACGTCCAAGTGGAGAGTCTCGAAGGGCTCGGTGGCCGGACGAAAGGAGGAGGAGTGAGGGGTGGCGCGCAGCCGACCCTCGACGCAGGGACCGCAAGGTGGTGCAAGCGAAGGCGGCAGTGACGGCAAGACTCGCGGGAGGTCTAAGTCAAGACGCTGACTAGACATTGCGCGCAGGCGAGGAATGGACGGGTGCCCCGAGCGGTGGTGCCACAGAACGGTGGGGTGAGCAAGCGACCGGCAGGAGCAAGATGCAGCAACTGGACCAGACACGGGAACCTGACCAGACACAGCTACCTCGTGAGACAGGGGAACCTGACGGGGGGCAGTGACAATGGTCGGGGGCAGTAGCTGCTGCTGCTGCGGCTGCGGCTGTTGCTGCTGCTGCTGCTGCCCTCGGGGGCCAGTGTGAAGTGTGTAGAGACCACAGCCCGGCTCAGCGGTAAAGGTGGCCAGAGGCGCGTACGTGTTCCCGTCGACACAAACCGCAGTCTCGCCAGAAGGCTCAATCCACACACCCACGTGACTACTCACGAGCGGCCTCACACCCACCAAGTT